GCCATTCTGAAGCAGCCAGGAGCGGATTCTAAATGAGCCAAAAAGCAGAGACAGGACCAATTGTCAAAATTTTTCATCCTGGTCACTACAGAAAATGGGCTAAAAGTGTTAAAAACCGAACTTCTCCTTTAAGCGGCTTCTTCTTTGTGAGAAAGGAGGCTAAATATATTGGCTCTGAGCAAGAAGCATGAAGCAAACCTTTTGCTTAGCTGATAACCCCTTCCAAAATCTGGTTATATAGAAATGTAAACATTTATTTAAAAAAAAAAAAATAACATTTACTGTTGTGTTTTTAACTATTCATAATAATGTACATGTGTTAGAATTGTATATCATTATAAAAACAAACATAAACCTTTTCAGAGAGCTGAGAGCACAACATGAACAGCTATCTGAGAGGAAGAGATTCAGTTTTTCTCATTTTCTTTTTATAAAGCTCTGAGCGTTAAACTCAAATTAGCTAGTTTAATTAATAAATATGAATATTGCAGCTTAGTAAAAATACTGCCTACTCAGAGAAAAGTTTGCCGTTTGAGTGAAAAGGCAGAGACTGATTCTGTTAAACTGTTTTTGCGTGTTAAAACCTCATTCCAGCTACAACGAAGATCTGCAAGCTTTTTTAATTTACACTAAAAATGATTTTGTAGGCTGCAGGTATTTGAGCTGGGGGGCTTTTTCCACTAATCTGAGCATGTTAAAGAAATATCACATAAACTGAAATGAAGTCGAACCACATGTTCAAAAAAAGCAAACGGACAATAATCACAGCTTGTCAAATGTTAAATCCCTTTCAAGAAAAAGTAATGACCGCCTGTTCTGTCATCCCTCATCTCTTTCAGACTCTCCTCTTGCCAGTGTGAAGATGCATCTGCACAGCTCAGTAAAGCGGAAGTTGGCAGAGGAGAAAGGCTATGTGTTTGACAAGCGGCTCAGGTACAATGTCCGACAGAACGAGAGCAACTGTCGATTCAGAGACATTGTGGTCAGGAAGGAGGAGGGCTTTACGCATGTCCTGCTCTCCAGCCAAACCACAGACAACAACGCTCTAACACCAGAGGTGAGAGAGAACCTGCTAATACCTTCTTCCTTTTAATTTCCCCTTTCATTTTTGTATCTTTGTTTGAAGCTTGAAATGTGGAAAAAAGGTTGAAAAGTTCCAGGGGGTTGAATACTTTCTCAAAGCAATAAATGTATCAATATAAGTATAGAAATTACTGCTAGTGGCACTTAGTCACTAGTGTCTATTGATGATGTGACAGGACAGAAGCAGCTGGATGAATTCTGAGGTAGAGGGAGACATTCTGTGTGCTCCAAACCAGCCAAATGCAGCCAAACGGATTGGTCTGCAATGCATAAAGCAAATGGAAATAGAAAGACTTAAAACAGTAATCCAAAGAAACCCAGGAGTTTATTTAAAAGAAGAAATGGAAACATTGAATGGCCAAGTCACTTACCCAATATTAATCCAAATGAGCATCCATTTGGCTTGATGAAGACAAAACTTCATACAGAAAGACCCACAAACAAACAGCACATTAAAACTGCTGTAGCAAAACCCTGGCAGAGCATTAGGAAAAGAGGAAACGCAGCATATGATGTCTGTAAGCTCAAGAATTAAGGCAAAAAAAGGAGTTTTAACCAAGTATTAGAAATTAAAATTTTATTTACAACAACTTCATTTTTTGAATTACTTTTGAGCTCTTAAATTATTTTTTGAGTGTCTTTGAAAAAATTATCTAGTATGTCACACTTTTATGCAATCCTTTTGTTCAATCTGCTGAATTAAGCTGATTGTCTGCACTTTAAATGCATCTGAAGTTGAGTTTGGTCTTTATCTGAGTTTACTCCCCATTGGTGTCATTAAGTCTAACCTGTTCCCGATGCATGTTGAACTCTTGCACTGTCAACAGTCATGTTCATAACCTTTATAGACAGGATTTCTTGGCAAAGCCAAGGGCAGGAGGGGGTCTGGTCTGGGGACCAGCGGATTTCTTCCCTGCTTTTTGCAGATGATAATGTTCTGATTGCTCCTTCCCGCCAAGACCTACTGCATGCACTGGGGTGGTTGGCACCACTGTTTTTGTGAAGAGAGCTGGGCCAGAAGGCAAAGCTTCCGATTTACTAGTCAGTCAAATATCCCTCCTGTTATTATGTCAATATGGACGAAACTCTTTGAAGAATTTTCCAGTACCTCTTTGCCCATACAAAAAAGGCAGCTGTGGAGGCAAAGGAACATCCAACCCTGTACTAGCAAGATGTACAGATGCATTATTATTATTGTTAGGTCTAATAAATTGGCCAGTGAGTTTAAATACAGCTGATAAGCTGTGGCAAAACTTAACAATTGTTGTTCAAAGACTATGTCTTAAGGGCTTTACTCCTCTTTTTGTGACACATATGTGATGAAATTTGATCTCTAATTGCAGGAAAAAGTGACAACATTTTGACTTGTGTATGTACAGTTTTAAGTTTTAATAATTTTGAAATTTGCATCCTTCTGCAACAGCTATTTGCTACTATGACTCTGTCTGATAAAATTCTGATAAACTACATTGAAGTTTGTGGTTTTCAAGATGAAATGGACAAGGGGTAGAAATTGTTATTGCAAGTCGCTATAATTGCTTTATATTAGCTTTTTAGGTGCCAGAATGAGAAGCAGTAGTCTTATGTGACATCTGCCTAGAGAGATGGTTTCAGCTGCATAAAGCTGCCATTAGCTTACTTCTGGAAAAATGACTTCTGCCTCCTGCCAAAGCCAACTTTTACAAGTGTCATAAGAGGGCTACAGGCCATTTAATCCAGTGTTCAGCCATCTGTTGTTACTGAGGCAAGAAGATACTTGAAAAAGTGAAACTATCGTGCTGCTGATTCAAAGAGGAAAAGAGCTTGTAATTGCCTTTTGAAAGAAGTGCAAACCCTAAAAAATGATGTCCGGTGTTTCCCTGATCTCTCTGTAGTACTTCCAGTGCTGCACAACATTAAAGCATTTTCAGAACAGGTGTCACATTTGGACTACTATAATTACACACATACATTGTCCTTTTTCAGTACACTTTTATACACATATACATTCCTAGAATGCAGGAGAATCCTTTAAGGGATCAAAAAGAAAGTTTTTCTGGAAATCAAGACACATACTAGCAGGGTCTCCCTACTTTTAGAAACACTTCTGATTAGGTCTAGTGTACCAGCTGTGCGCTCTCTACAGGCATTTAGGATGCAAAATCTGTGCCAAGCAGCGTTCGATGGCATTTTTAATAGTCTTCACAATCACCTGCTGATGCCTTATCAGTTAAATTCCCTTCCCAAGTTATCATGGAGTGGCAAATTAAACAGTACAACCTTTGTGCACAGCTTGATCCCTGATTTGATGTAGCATTAACTAAGAAATAATTCTTAAAATAGTGTTTAGAACATGCTCTGAGTTAAATTCTCTTGACGAAAAAGCATTCATCCCTGAAAAACGAATTGTCAAGGAAGGTTACAGTATAGAAATGATTGGCAACATGTGAAGAGCTGAATTTCAGGTAATGACTCTTCCCAGCTGCTTCAACCTTTGTAAACTAGCTGCCTGCAGGATTCCACCAATATAAGATTGGATGCTTATTTCCACTCAGCAACAAGCTGCTCCTCATTTCCAGTGGATTGATGCATGCAAATAGTTTTTCCTGATGCATGCTAGAATTTCTTTTAGTATTTTTAGGTTTTGATTTTGGGGAGCAAATAGTCACTGTATCAAACAGCAGGAACGTTTAAAACTTAATCCTTCTCTCTATTCAGTTTCATTTCAAACATTGCAACAATGTCTGTTACAAATTCTGTGAGCTCAGGATTGTCCGGATATGATAGGGTGGGGCAAATTCATCCACCTCCATCTCATAACTAAGCTAACAGGATTTTCTGCTACTCACATGTTACACTGAGCCTCCTGTTCCTGCTTTTGATACATCATTGTGGGTAATACAGACTGTACCTCACAGGCACTCAATTGTGTGACAGTAAGCCTGTAAGATGTGGGCTTATCAAGCAGCTCTGATACATCCATCTATGCCTCGAGGTCTTTGAAGTAGCAGAAACAAGACAGCCTTTAAATGTGCTTGCTGAATTGCTGCAGCATAAAAGAAAATCAAAAAACATAATAAATATAAGTAAAAAATTTTCAAGCACTTCTTAATGGAAAAAAAATATTTCTAAAACCTTGAATACAACTTTTCTTTACAGTATGACAGTTTACTTACTATAATCTTCAAAACACAAATACAGCTACCGTGTTCCACACCAAGTATTCAACAGAACTAAGCTTTTTGGCTCCATTTTCTGGGAAATCGTCTTTTTAAAGAGATCTGACTGACAATCTCGCTTTTATCTTTGAAATCTCTTGCGAATCATATTTCTATATGTGGATTTTCTCTTGCATCTACATAAAGCTCTAAATTTGTTGTGAATATTTATTTTAAACTTTAGATACATGTTTTTTTGTGTGTGTGTTAAATGGCATTAATACTAGTATTTTTTATCTTTTTCAGTAACATCTGCTGTTTTAACTCTTGTATCTCAAACAGTTTTTTTAAAGTCTTATTTTGTGGTAAAGGTGTAGTATTAATGGTTCATTATTTATCATTGCGGTTATTATTATGACTATTATTATTAGTGTTATTATGATTATAATTATTAAATTCTCATTTGATGATGAATTTCAAAAAGGTACTTAGTGTGGAGACTGTAGTGACGTTATTACAAGATGTTTTTATATGCAATAAAGCATAAAACCAGGTCATATGGTATGACTTCAGGTTAATTAGCACTGATTTGTGAACATGAAAAGAAATCTGTGCTATTATCTTAGACCTTCAGAATGAGTTTTCTTTTTATTTAGTTTGTTCTATTTTACCCAATGGACTGTAGAGATATCAGAATATTTGTGCATTTCAGATGCGGAGCCACCCCACCAGGTTACATTGTTGTTTACATGTGGACCTAATTTACCACCTCTGGAACAAGTAGTCCCCCTCTAAAACAGAAGGTGCAGCGGGGATACTCTTAAGTGATATGTCTTAAAGAGATAAGCATTATATGGGGAGTCCATATAATGAATATATTTCTTCTGCTTTTTAAGTGTCGCTTTCACTTGCAATAACCAGATATTGCTAGAATTTACAGATATCTCCTGGATAGGATGATAACGGGTCAGCATTGTGCAGCTGGAGTGCAATGACATCCACCTGTGACCAGAGATCCTGATTTGTGCCAGACTGTACTTGCTGCATTTTTATCTTTTGCCCGGTGTCTCATAAAGTAGAAGTATGTTGCATATAACTAGATCACATTCTAAGAAGTCAAAGTAATTATTTAAAGCTACAGTGTGTAATAATTACAGGGATATACAGTCAGAAATGTATGTATTATACATAACTATGTTATTTATCATCATCTACGAGCTCAGCCTCTTAACCTTAATATTTGCGTTGCCTTAGAATTCGTTATTTATAATTACA